TTCTCCACCTTGGAAACATTTCAGCCTCAGGTGGCTGCACTGTTCGATTCTTCTTTGTCTCAATGGACATTGCAGATGATCAATTCCACTTCACTAGTCGAGCTGACTTTAGTCACACCGGGTCTCGCTTCCCCTCCCTGGTCCCTTATCCTGGAGCGACTCGCGATCCCTACCCTCCGCATCCTACGAATCGAGGGTGAACTTACTCACCTTGCCCTCGATCGTTTCTTGCAGCGCCATCGCGGACTAGAGGAACTTCATATAGGATATCATTCAGATTACGGCCGTGTAGCCCGTCGACGAACCCCTCCTTCAGATCTATCTCATCTGCGGGTTCTCGCAGCGCCGACCATGTACCTTCTCCACATACTAGGCGACGAGCGCACGAGCACCGCCACTCTGGAGAGATTGACGATTCTCCCTAGTCTCCACTGTGAGAAGACCGCCGAGTTCGTTTGCAGCCTCTCCAAGGTGCTCACGCTCGTCTCCGAGCTTGAGGAGCTGTACTGGCTCAATTGCACGTTTCCTCCTTTCATGGCAGCGGGCGTTGACGAAATACCGAACGGTATCATCGGACTTCCGCTATCGGATGTTCTACTTCCTAACGTGAAGTACGTTGTGTTGGAACAAGCATCGAGCGAGAATAAATGGGATTCCTTCAGTGCGTTGCTCTTGATAAGTCGGCCATTATGGATTGGCGTAGTCCGATAGCTAAAAGGTTGCAAAATAGAGTCAGTTACCCGGCTGGTTGCGGCAATTTCCCATTCTATCGAACTTGCAGCTGTGGGAGGACGCTGTTGTTGACCGCACAGACGACATGGCACGTCTTTGCACTACCTGTGCCGCTTTATCTGATGTCTGGATGTATTCCGGTGGAAGGGAACTGAGCTGGGACTCCACCTCAGCGGTAGTCTCACACGGCAAGTTACTTTGTTCTGTTTCGAATTGAATTGATTACCCTATTCACTTATATCACGAGCTCAGGAAGCTTTTAAAGGGGACCGCGACGCGGTAATTGTTACCCTGCGAGCGGTACTAGTACTGTTGTAGACCGTACATGTGAAATTTATTGTCCAAGATCTGGAATCTACCACCATCAAATATTGTACATAGTTCCACCAATTTAAGGAGCGCGCGTATTTTCAATATGCGGAGGTTGATTTGCAGCTGTCACTTTCCTTGTGCTATTTCTGAACTATGTGAGGGCGTATCACACGATGGCATATGAGGTCCATTATTATAAACTGAGCAAAATGTCGTTTATTCAGAATTTACCGCTGATCGTATTGTGTGACTCCATAGTCACGCCCAGATTCCATATATATCTTCGGAAACGTAACGAGCGTAAATGTAAATGTCAATTTTAAAATACCAGATCGAATTTTAAATGCCTATTATGCGTTAAAAAACGGCTTCATGTCTGGGGTGCCAACCGCTTTTTGCTCCTGGACTGAATTGTTCCCCTACTCAGCGAATGTCCGCCAAGTAAGTTCTTTATCGCTAAGATGTATGCACGTATGACATTGTGACATAGCCTTTCTTCCTATAGATTGGCTAACTTCTCTCCCTTGTTGATCGACTACAGGCGATTCGAGAATACAGCAACGAATGCCGACACGAACATCGGTATAGAGCAGTACTTTGCACAAAACGACCATTGACAAGCAGTGACCTGTGAGCGGGAAAAGAATGGCATCTGGCATTACAGCTTAACTCCTGTCTGCTTTGTGAAGAACTGCTTGGCGGTCTCGAGAGCCTCGTTGACTCTGTCTACGTTGACACCCACGCCTTGAGCAGAATCTTCCTTGCCTCCTGCCTGTTGCAATCCATCAGACAACATTCAGAGTCCACAATCGATGTAATTCTCACCTTCCCTCCCAGAACCTCTGCAACGGCTGTGGCCCAAGCACGGGCATCCAGACCTTTGGCCTTCGCCGTCGGCGACACGGCATTGACATGTTGAACCTTGCCCGCTTCATAATCAGGACTGAAGACGTAGATAGTCTTGCCCAACTTCTTGCCCTGCTGGGCGATACTCTGCAGCATCTATAAACCAGATGGGATCGATTGAGAGAATAGATATGACATTAAGTACCTTCGGATTCGCCGCCACAGTGAGAACTGAGATAAATGCCTCGACGTCTTCGTGCTGCCGGAAGTAGTCGTTGACAATATCTACGACCTGCATCGGCGAAATGAATTTCCTTCCAAAGTTCGTCACCCACGTAATATGACTTACCGCTTTGTTGGCGACTGCCTCTTTCTCCTTCATTCCTTTGTCAAATGCCCTGCGAACAGTAGCAAGGCGATCGCGGAGCTCAGACTTCTTGAGAGTTGAGATATCGGCTTGGCCCAATTCCTGCAAACCAGCGTGATTTCCAGAGCTTCACCTCGCAAAGTTTTATGCTTACTACCGTGTAGCTCTTCAGGGCAGACTCCTTTTGCACGCCGCTCATGGATTCTATTTGGTCCAACCGACGTGTCAGAGAATCCGCCCTGCGGCGAGCCTCTGCAGCCTCGTGTCCTGTTACGGCAATGATACGCCGGATGCCTTTGGCGATGCCAGATTCTTCGGTGATCACAAAGTCTTTGATCTCACCGGTTCTTGTAACATGACTGGGGAGCTCCTACATGGTGATTTTGATAATCTAAAGTGAGGGGAGATGCACGCACGTTCCGCCGCATAGCTCGACACTTGTCGTCCGCCATTTTGGATTTGAGAGATCTTGCACGATATCGTCCACCGCGTGCTCCAACGCAACTACCCGCACCGGATCTGGATACGATTCGCCGAAGACTGCCCTGAGACCGGGAATTTCTTGAGCAACACGGAGACTAAGTTCTTTAGTGAAGATCTTGACATTGCGGTGGATCCAGTGCTGACTTTGCTCTTCGATTTTGGCCAATTCGAGCAGAGGGATTTGCGCCTTGTGCGAGAAGTCAAACCTCAATTTCGTAGGCGCGACAAGAGAGCCCTTCTGATCGACATGGTCACCGAGCACTTCGCGCAGGCAATAGTTCAGAATGTGCGTTGCGGTGTGATTATTCCTGAGAGGCCACCGTCGGAGCTGATGACAGACTCGTTATGGCAAACCAAATGATTGTAAACAACTTGTCACGTACCTCGTCGTAAGACGCGACAACCTCATCTGAGATAGACAGCTTTCCATACTTCATCCGTCCGATGTGCAAAGCATAACCGCTGAAAGCCTGGACGTTGGAGACTTCGAACTCGGCGACATCATCAATTACTATACTACCCGTGTCGTATTCCTGGCCACCTGACTCAGCGTAGAAGCTTGTCCGATCCAATATCAGACCGAGCAGGATGCCATCAGGTATGTCCGCAGTTGACTCGAAGAAGGACTTCTCATGGTATATCGCAAGTACACGAGCATTGACATTGCCGAGAGCTAGCTGAAGGTCAGACTGAGGTACGAACAACAAACTAAGGTTCGCAACGCACCGTACTTCGCTGAGTCGTCCGTTTTCGGAATACGCCGAGTCTTCTCCAACTCAGCAATATCATGTACATCAAGCTTGACCGCGTCTTTGTCGCCAGTTTTGAAGCTCGCTTTGCTGGCTTCCTTTGACTGCGCTTGTGCAGCTTCAAATTCTTCCTCATTGATACCCAACCCAAGCTCTTCCGCCATCAGGCGTGTGAGATCGACTGGGAATCCAAAAGTATCGTACAGTCGCCAGACGTCTTTTCCAGATAACATGCTCGATCCCTGCCGTTTAGCATGATTGGCGTACTGATCAAACAGTTTCTCTCCTCGATCTAACGTGCGAGCAAAGGACTGTTCCTCTTCGTCCAAAATCTCCTTGATTTCTTCCGTTCCTCGAGTGATCTCTGGAAACACATTGCCCTATATCCGGTTGAGACGTGCGACTCTAGACTGACAGCGAGACATACCATCTGCTCTACCACAGCAGGCATGATCGAGGAGAAGAACGAGCCAATATTAACGCCAAGTTTCTTGCGCGCATAACGGCATCCTCGACGGAGAATGCGCCTTAAAACATAACCGCGACCGACGGCGTCTGGAACGCCTCCATCACTCAGTGCAAAAATCAAAGTCCTGACGTGGTCGGCGACAACACGATATGCGGTATCAATTCCATTTTCATCTTCGTCTCCGAATTTGCCTTGATAAGGCCTAACACCGGTGATCTCTTGAATCCTAGCGAAGATAGGCGAGAAGACATCCGTGTCGTAGTTAGACCGTTTCTCCTGTATCACTGAGACCAGTCGTTCGAACCCCATTCCGGTATCCACGTGCTTTGAAGGAAGCAGTTTGAGCGAACCATCATCTTCACGATTGAATTGAATGAAGACGTTATTCCAGATCTCCAAGACGTCCGGATCGTCCTTGTTCACAAGGTGAGCGGCATTCCGACCGCCGATGCGATCGAAATGAATCTCACTGAAACATGAGGGTTGTTGACTTCGTTCAGCAGTTATATACGTACCTGCACGGCCCGCAGGGGCCCGTCGCGCCCATCTCTACACCCATCAAAATTAGACCACGTTCCGATGTATTCCACCATTAGCATGCTCACCCCAAAAGTTGTCTTTCGCATTACCCGGTAATATATGATCCTCCGCAATGCCTTGTTCTAACCAATATCGTCGAGCTTCCTCATCAACATCAAGGCCGTTTGCTTTATCGCCTTCAAAAAACGACACATAAAGCCGATCTTTTGGTAACTTATAGACGTCCGTAAGCAGCTCCCAGGAGTAGGCGATTGCTTCACGCTGAGGAAACGGGGAATGAAATGATCACCCATCATATGTATATGCGTGCGAGAACGTACTTTGAAGTAGTCTCCGAAGGACCAATTCCCCAGCATCTCAAAGAACGTATGATGATAGGAATCTTTGCCGACATCCTCCAAGTCTACTCGAGATGTGAATGTGCATGAAAGCATTCAAAGTATCAAACACAAACCATTATGCTTCCCGCCAGCTCTAATGCACTTCTGGCTATTGTACGCACGTTTCAGACGGGCCAGGTCCGATTGAGGGTCAACCGTGCCTAGGAATATGGACTTGAACTATGGACAATTGTCTGGTTGAGTTATCGAGAAGTCAATGGATTCATGGCCTGACCTGATTCATTCCCGCGTTCGCGAACAAGAGCGTAGGGTCCTCGTATGGGATGGTAGATGAAGATGGGACGAAAGTGTGACCTTTCGACCGGAAAAATCTAAAGAACTCCTCCCGTACCATGGGTGATGTCCATGACGGAGCTTCAGAAGACGCCATCCTCAACGATTGCACTGGACGGTAGCAGCGAAGAAGAGGCCGCATGTAAGAGTCAGATCCAGCTTCATGATCGACGCTTTGGTAAAGTCACGTGCACAGTTACGGCCGGCCGGCGCCGGTTGCAGGCCTGTATCATGACAATGCCATTTATCATTCACGGCAGACATGATGCGATTCATCAATGTGGAAAATAGTGTGGGAATGTCAGCTGATGTCTTACATTTGTGGCAAAGGTTTGCCAATGTAGCATTTAAATGGCAAATAGTTCACATTCACAGCCAAAGTGAGACATTTTCAGCATGAAATGTCATAGTCGCAAATATTTGTCACATGTGTAAGAAATCAGTCCACATTTGCACACAATTTCCCACCTTGATAAATTGTGTCATGTCTGCCATGACTGATGAGATATTGCCTAACAAATCTGGCTTGATCCTTCACCTCAAAGAAAGTACCGATTTCTACTATGAGAAAGGAATGAAAAACTGTGGATTTCCTTCAACTTTTCCCTTCTATACATCATATTATTTTTCAAGTCAATATAGGCAGCATGACATAAATTAATGCTCAGGAAAGGTGAAAAATGAACCCTTTCCAGTCCTTTTTGAGGCTTTCTCTGAAACAATTTACTTGACATGAAAGGCTGAGTTATTCAATTCAATTCTAACACCTTTCCTACAATAAGAATCAGTACTTTCTTCATGGTGCTTTGTCTTTGAAAACTTAGTTTGTCCCTGTGACAACTGACATTGCATATCTTTCATTTTTTGCATCACATGTTCTCATGTGACTTTTGCATCATGTGCACTTTCACATCACATAATGCCACATTATCTTATCAATGGCTCAGATCTATGGATGACAAGGTCAGACTATGGTGGGGGACGCCACTTCATGACAAGTGTTTGAGCCATCTCACGGATTTGCTAAGGCTTCTTGAAATTTGCATTAAAATTCATGAAACATATGTAGAATCATAGCTAAGGAGATGCTCTATAACATGGCTGGAACAGATTTCTCAAAATCCAAGCTTTGAGTTTTCAGGCCTCAATTTGGCAGTTTTGCTTACTAATGCAATATCATATATGGATATTTCCATATCCAGATAGTATTAGCGCTGGTATTGCCAAATGCAGCCACGGTAAGCGCTGATCAGAGACCAGCCACATGGTGACAAGAAATCTAACTTTACAGTGATGCCTTGATCAAAATCACATCCTGCACGCTCTAGATACTCTACAGGCCAGTTCATAGCTTATCAGCCACCAACCACACAGACTGAACACAACAATGTTGATCTGGAATCCTCAGATGACAGCAACACAGATGTCGAGCATTGGATGAAACTGCGAGAACAGCTTGCTGAGATACAGAGGAAACAAGAGGACAAGAAGACCGAAAGACTTATAGAGAGGTCACAGAACAGTGCTGAATACATCCTTGATGGCCCGACAAAAACAAGCTATCATCACTGGATTTTTCAGTACTGCTAAAGTACCTGTACAAGTTCTTGCTGACATGTCAGACTCAAGTGACTCCGACGATTCTTTCATATCACATAGTCAGTCCATTCTTCACACTGAGATGCATGCCACCACCAAGTCAAGCATGGAAGATGAACAGCCACTAAGCCAGATCACTGCAGCAAAAGATGTCCAATCTGTCCAGACAACTGAGCAGATAGCAGAGTGCGTCAAAAGTGTCCTTACGAATGCTGCCCAGAAGAAGCCTACCAAACTTTATGCACTTGCTCAAGAGGGTCTGAAGAAAGCATGAAGTCAGCACGACTATCGATTAGAGGTTCTCTTAACATCACTAATGGACTTCTACAAATGGATGCCATGACAAGGGCAGCAGTGAGTGGCACTGCAAATAGCACGCAATCATCAAAGGGGTGTAGCATTCGCATGTGTGCTGTGTGCCCAGGCACGTCATTTTGAAGTGATTGGAAGTGTGAAACTGAGCCAACAAGGACAGAAGAGTCGCAGAGAATCCTTGCTAGACAATGAAGCAGTATCAATGGGGATCCAGATATGGTTGCATATGCAAGAACCTGGAAACATAAGTGTATATGAGAAACTTTAATTGTGTATGCTAATGCAACATGTATAGGTAAATCCTAAACTGCTTCAGACGCATCTAAACAAGACACTCTTACCATCACTCGAGTCGCAAAAGAAATCGATCAGTATAAGACAAGCACGCCGCTGGCTCTGGCATCTAGGATATCACTGCAAGCATCATTCAAAGGGTGTATATTGGGATGGGCATGAGTGAAAAGATGTCAAAAGATGACAAAAGGAGTTCCTCAAAGAACTGCAAACAATGGAGAGGTGAGATCAATGACTGGACTGGCTTCTGAATTAACAGTTATATTCTCACAGATTTATGGCCACATATGATGGAGCTGAGATGGCAGAGACTCTGCCAACCCTGGGGAAGAATGAAAAAGAGCACGTCATTATATTTTATGATGAGTCAGCATTTCACGCAAATGATCACAAGTGAGACTATTGGGTCAAGAAGGATGAGCAAGTGTTAAAGAAAAAGGAGTGGAGCCAGCTCATCATGACGTCAGGTTTTATTTGTCAACAGTATGGTAACCTTGCATTGACCGAGGAGATGATTCTTGCGAACAAGGCCCTTCCTGAAGATGTGCACCTGAAAGTGACAGATTCAAGAGTCACCATCTATCTGACATCACGGCAGGGTGGTGACAATTATGGGAATATGGAGCAGATGATCATGCAGGTACTATCATAATATACTTACTTTTGAGCCATCCTGCTTGTGCTCATCACAAGTCGATAGATGCGAAACACCATCAAAATAGGACGTCACCTCTATCTGAATGCTGTCATACAGTGGGTATTTGACAATTCATCTTACCATGGTAGCTTCGCAAAAGATGCTCTCAATGTGATGAGAATGAATGTCAATTCTGGCAGCAAAAACATACCACATATGCATGACACAGTTGTGCCCACTAACAACCCATGGAGCTTAGTGTCACAGCATCGCTGGACGAGAGATCAAAGAGACTAAAAAAGGAAACAGTCACGTGGAACGTGCTGCCCTGATCCCCCTAATTCCTGTAATCCCCCTAAACCCTTATGTGGCTTGAGAGCTTAAGAATTACTTGGTGAAGCAAGTGGTTGGATGGGTGAGAGAGATATATGAGGTGGATGCTACAGTGGTAGACGAGGAGAAACAATCTGAAGTTTCGTCCTCTACATAGCCGGTTTTATATACACGTACAGGAGCCTGATTACATAACCTTCATCGTACCACTACTACAAAATAGATGATTGGCTATCTACGTATCTAGGTGACTAAACTATATGTGGAACAATAAGTGGGAAGATCTATCCATAAGTAGAATAATAGGTGAGAAGATCGATGTTCTCCCTTGATAATGGTGAGACGATCCATCCTATCGTGGTAATGGCTATTCCTTGAGCCAATTGCCAAGATGATCCTGAACAATAGTCCTTGTTCCCTTTATTTCCAAATGGGTGCCTCTATTGTATCCTGGAATAGACAGGTTTGGCCATATCATCCATGGACCTGAACCATAACATGTGATGTGGACTATCACCTGATCTCTACGTGTCGCGTCTGTGGCTGAGTGGCATGAGATATTGGTGAAGCACGTAATCTGTGGTGTGAGAAAAGTCATGTGTGGACTTTGTGATGAAAATCTGTGACACTTAGGTAGGCTTGGACAATCCATGCAGTTTCCTGCCATGCTTTCTGATGGTGATGAAGAAGCAAAGGAATTTGAGGGACAGCCGAAGGGGATGCAGTGGATACTGCATGAGCGTGGCCTCCTGAAGATTGGCATGATCGGAGATTGTTAAACTTGCAAACAGGTCAAGTCTAGAAAGGCCCATCTTACCAGATTGTTACAGGAGGAGCTGGCACGGATAGAAGGCAATGAGACAGATAATAGTGAGGATGATGATGAGCAGCCCTTCAATTGTTGCATGCAGTGCATGCTATCAATGCAAGAAGACTTCTGCAAAGAGAAATCAGTTCTTAAGCAGGTGCGCAGACTCACATGAACCGTGACAGCGCTTTCAACATTATTTTGAGTAGATCATCGAGGAAGCAGGCGATGTCTGTCACTTCCTACTTAAGTTCCATCCGGAGCTCAATCTGATTGAATACTACTGGGGTTGGACGAAGAACTACTTTTGTGAGAGATCGAATGACAACTTCATCAAAGCTCGCCCACTTGATGCATGCCCTCTCATTACAATCTGACGATTCATTCGGTGCGTGTTTTGATATATGAGTGTCTATCGACTCGGGGCCACAGGTTTTGTAGCTGAATACGTGGTTCACAAGTATAAGTCTCACCGTGCTATGCAGTTGAAGGACCTAGAGGTTGCAGAATTAGAATGGAAGGCAAAGGTGGAGCTCACCATGGCTCGAAAGGTAAGCGTGTTCAGTAGCAGCATATCCTTGAATTCCATTAACTTTGGGCCAATTTGGTGGTTTTTTTAGGGTTAGGGTTAGGTTCCCAGAAAAACTTGTGCTTTCAGATTTGAGCCTATCTATGGAATACTTTATATATAAAATTTCAATCTTAAGGTGCTAGGAGTAAAATTGTGGCATGTCATGAAGTGGCATCCCCCATCATAGTCTATCCAGGGAACAAGGCAATAACTCAAAAGAGTTTAGCCTCCAGCATCATAGTGATCAGGTTGCATCTGGACCATCCTGGTCTAAAAGAGCTTTGGTACTAGTTCATTTGTTTCTGAAGCCAGCCAATTATAGAATTTAGAGTAGTGATATGTATAATTAGATAAGGTGTCTATGCATATATGTAAGATCAGCCTGTAGAGTGAGAGACCTCAGATCATTTCTCCTTATCCATTCACCTTGTGTAGCATCCAGTGCAATCTCCCACTACTGGCCTAACAACCCACAATCAATACTATGTATTTTATAGCTCATCTTTGCTGTTAGTAAGTTTTTGAGGGGAGACCACTTTCTTTATGACTTTTTTGACCCTTTATCTTTTGCTGCACAGTACT